ATATATATATATATATACATATACATTCATACACACACACTATATAAACATGGGTACTCATTGCATAAAATTTCAAATGTTTTCCACTAAAACTTAACGAACTTATCTTGATAATGATATTAAGGAATGACACTAGTTACTAGCAAGTAATTACGTCTTTGTATCTCTACGAAGCGATTATTTAATTATTCGTAGTTTTTTTAGATTTGGTAGTTTCCTCATGCTTGTGATACATATTCAAGTAGTCCAGAGATTAACCGTTAGTGAGTATAAAATAATCTTTGGCATACTTATGTATATATAATGTTGCTATCGTTATTATTTAATAGAAATACTTGCCGCAGTTTTGTTTTAGCGTTTTTGGACGAATATTCTTCTTTTCTTCGATGTGCGATTATTCTATGCGATAGCTAAATTAAGTGTCATCGTTGTCGGCTGGGAGAATGTGGAAGACCTCGTAGGATCGGAAAACTCATAGCTGTTGGAAGAGTTTTGGCTATCGTTGTTGAAGCGACTGAGATGTTCTGGATTAGGAGATATAACGGAAGTTCTAATAACCATTCTGGACACACACTCTGGATTTTTCGTTGTGTTATCAGATGTTTTCCTCTCGCGTTCTTCGCCTGGAGTATTCTCTCTGAAGAAACGTTTCGGTGGCGGAGATGCTGTGGATTCGTCGGGGACTCTGGTATGTCTAATAATCGCGGAAAACGCCGAAGATGAATTCTTTTGGTCGCGATTAAGACTTAGGCGAGGGACGATAACGCTAGTAGGAGATGCCGTGACGCATGACGTCGTTTGTATTCTACTTAAAGAAGACGATGGTGGTGGGCAGGATTTTGTTGACGATAATGTTACTTTTTGATCATTCCCATCGATTTTATCCGTAGATGATCGATGATGTGCCCTCATACACGATGATTCTTCATGTTTGTAGAGATATGACTTCAAAGCAAATGCTTTACCGCAGCGACCGCACACATATGGTTTGGTGTTTGAGTGCGTTTGTATGTGGGCGCGTAAATTTGATTTGTCAGCAAACGCTTTATTGCAGATCGTACATTTAAATGGTTTCTCACCTAATGTAGGAAAGAGAAACGTCATCGAATTACATAATAACAGGTAATTATGTATTTGATATATATTGATGTAACATTGATATAATCGATATATTTGCGATATCTTAGTGGTTGTGTAACACACAATTCACTCTATCAGCGAGATATGATGATATTTTTATACAAATTCTCACCTGTATGTGTACGTATGTGTCCCTGCAGGAGCCATGGTCTCGAGAAACACTTGCCGCAATAATGGCACTTGCATCCCTGGTTATGCGTTCTGACATGCATGCTGAATGCAGGCATACTAACGTAGACTTTATCGCAATGTGGACATCTTCTGGCTTTCTTGTCTCCGAGAGATCTATGCGTTTGTCGATGTCTGGCCAAATTCGAGGATGTGGAGTACTTTTTTCCACAATCAGGACATTCGTGATCCTCATTGTCTTCCGATTTCGACGTTTCCGTTGAAGTTGAGGTTGTTCTTCGGTTTTGCGAGATTGTCGAGGATGTTGATTGAATTGATTCCAATTCAGCTTTATCGAGTGAATTCTCAGAAGCTTCGAGACTTCGATGTTCCTCTTGCAAGTGGTGAGAATGAGGCGGAACGTGGATGCCTAAAACTGTACTTCTTTCCGAACGATTCTGCAAAATCTCACGTTCGCACTCGATCCTCTCGAAAAAGATTCTCGTCCTTTCACCAAGCGTCTGCTCATCTTCGATGGTCCCTGGACGATCTCGAAATTGCGAGTCTTGCTGTTTTGTTCGTGGTGTCATCATTCTGCCGCATTTGTCCGAAAATTGAGCACACCTTGGCGAAGCTGGTTGCTGATAAATCACGTTATTGGGATGAATCAGCGTACCAGCGGCTGCGGCTAAGCTCACTTCTGCCAATTTCGTGAGATTGTATAATTCCTCGGGACACTCTGATGATGTCTCGCTACCGCATTCACTTGCACCATCAGAAGTTGGATGGTTTCCGCTGTAATCGGCCAATCTTACGCCTCTTTCAGGACTAAAATCTATGAGAAATAAAAAAAAAAAAGTTATATTTATCATTGGTCACTTTCTCTCCTAAGATATTCTCTTACAAGATATTTTTATAATTACGTTTATTCTTATAGTTTAACGCAACAGAAAATTAAAACTGCATTATTGTCTGATAATAAAATTGAAGAAAGGTCAAAATTTTGCACGTGGAAACATTTATCATCGTTAGCGGAGATTTCTACGATTTCAATGTGTTTTGGCGGACGTCCAACGAAAATCTCGTGATCAAACTAAAAGAACTTCCAATTGATAGTTTGATTTCATTGCGGCTGTTTTGTAATTAGTCGTATTTCCGCATTCTTATTATGCAACAAAAAAAAATTATGTTCTAGCAGCTCAATTTTTTATGACTAATTTTATAACTAATTTAAGTAGCTTGTCTATTACAAATCATTCTCTTTGCTTGAAACAGGTGGTATTAACAGAAGCTTGTTGGAAAATTTCGTTTGAAGAACAGAGGAACAGAGGATTTATTATTTATTTAATTCCCTTTTATAATTTGGTTTATACTTTATATATTTAAATCGTAAACCGTGATAAACAAAGAGATCCGTATTTATGACTTTGAATTTGTATATCAAGGCGTTTCGTGAAACACGAAGCACCTTCACGAATATACCGTCTTCTCTTTGAAGAGAACAGAAATAGAGTAGTTATCTTTTTCTCTCTCTATCTTCCGACTTATTCTTCTTTCTTTATTTAATCCTCGTATTTTCTGCGCACTTCTATATTTCTACATTCTATATACATGTGTGTTTGTATGAAAAGTTTTCGAAGGGTTGACGGCATCGCGACGGTATGAGTTGTGTCAATTTCGTGACGCACCTAACGTCTCCTATTCTTAAATCTACACGATGTACTACCTTAATCATGAAGCAATGACCAGCAAATTCTCTTGGCTTGTGGTCAAAAACTTTGATTGACGAGGTCGACGTAAGCGGTGCGGAAATTTCGCTTACACCCCGATCGAGTGCCTACATTTACGTTTCCGGGCCATTAATATTGCCATTAATGGAACTTTTACCGTGGAACGTTTAATGGAACTATTTTTGAGATTTTTATGTATTACTCCCTTCTGATGGAAAGCTTCTGAATGAAATTGAAAATAAAAGATGAATAAAAGTAACAATCTTTACAGATTCTTTGCGAACGTTTACCGACGAAAGGAACACAATG